GCACAGCGTGACCGTTAAACGGCATCCTTGCATGAACGCCGTCAAACTGTGTACGTCCTGCTCTGTGCCATTCAGGGGTGGCTGCGCAGATTGCATGCATGTGTCTGGCATCCAAGGGTTACATGCTGTGCAAAATAAGGCTCAGATTGTGTCAGATATGGGGCACTAATGACAGGATTTTTTTCAAGTCGTTCATATGGCAACTGTTGCAATTTCTGTCAGCTTCGTTTCCGTTACTTGCCAAAACCACAAACCAACCTGAGAAAGCAAAAGAGATCAGATATGGTTCAGTGCAGGACTATCTGGTTTTGCATTTATGGTCTTTGAACCTCTTAGGTTTAGAGCTGACTTCAAAGTTCTCCTACTTACATATAAGGCACTTAAAGGTCGAGCTCCTGCCTACCTGACAGAATTACTTCAAGATTACAAGCCGCATCGTCCACTCAGATCAGAATGCAGGTTTCCTCCTCATTGTTCCACATATAAATAAAGTGACAGTGGGCGGTAAAGCATTCTGCTACAGGGCCCCTGTATTGTGGAATGATTTACCAGCCTTTGTTCGGGATGCCGATTCAGTCTCAGTTTTTAAATCTCTACTGAAGACCCATTACTTCAGTTTAGCTTACCCACAACCTAACACATAACACACCGTAACTATGGCTGCTGGTGCTGCTGTACATGCCATTTTTATGTACTATGCTTGTCCAATTATGTGTCAAACCATGTTCTGACCATCCATGCTCTCTGCCTCCCCACATGTCCGCATGGTGCCCGGGGTGGTTCAGTCCCATGGAGGGGTGACATTGCGAATGGGACCTACCACTGCCTTCAGTGCCAGTGTGGAGAACAGACTTATTGATGGACTTTGGCCACCCTAGACAGGTCAACGTGGATAACGGCCTCATTGATGCATTTTGTCTTTATCCTTAATCACAGCTTACACCTAGCTTTTAGCAAGTAAGTCCACTCTTATGTTCTCAGTAATGTTAGTCTGCCCAGGGGGGCTGGACAAGCAGTTGACCTCAATTACTCAATTACTCTCATTACCTGGGAGTTTTTGGTTCCTCTCCTCTGTTGTCATCTGGCTTTCTCTAGTTTATTTCCTTACTTTATCCAGTTCTGTATTACTCTCCCTAATGATGTAATGTATCACAACACATCCATGTAAAGCACCATGGGATGACTGTATTGTGAAAGGCGCTATATCCAAATAAATTGAATTGAACTCTGGAACATTAATGGGATTAAATTTCTCACCCGTCTCTGTTGGTACTCAAATCCTGCTGGTCCTGTAAGACATGTTGAGAGGTGAAATACAAGGAATCCACAACTGATGGGAATAATTGTCAGGTACAATGGTTTCCCTTTATTTGTCAGTAAAACACCTCATTTTAAGGTAAACATAAAAAGCTATAAGTGTGTTCACCAAAAATTTAAGAAACTTTATGGAACATGAATCATCCTTTTATCATCAAACAAACAATCATCAACAAACATGTCATCTTGTGTCTTGTATTTTATGGTGATTTCCCCTCCTACACACACACACACACACACACACACACACACACTCATAGCCTCTATTTATTCGTTGTTTGACACATGCTACAGTGTCTGTCTGTATAATGATGTATATATGCAGCTGTCACAGGAAACCACCATTTTAAACATCAGTAATAAGTGCTAATATACTGTAATATACAGTATGTGGAACTCTTGATTGCCAATGACTTCAAGGCCCTTGCTACAGAAAAGGCTGATATCAGGACACATTTTTAATCACATTTAATAAATTTTGGACCTGCTTTGTGTTGACACATGTGATACGGAACCACCATCCTTTTTAACGTAATTACGTCAGTGACAGAACTGGGGAGCACAGGACTAGGAAGCACTTTTATACAGGACTGATGAGGGAGCAAATGGGAGGCAGCTGGAGTGATCCACACGAGGGATGAAATCAGAGGTAAGACAAAACAAGCAACAGGCGTGGCTCTTTAAGGTCACCCTAGGGGGAGAACAGGAAGGCCAGGACATGACAAATCCTGCCTGAATTTTATGGAGCAACAACCTCTGTTGAAGAAAAGTGAATTTAATTAAGGCATGGAATAGATACAAGAAAAAAAGGAATATTACATAGGTTTTCAACTATTCACTGAAATATATGGTTAAAATAAATATTAAATGCATGCAGAACGCTGATTTTTTCAATTAAACAATTGGCATGGTAACATATATTTGCTGCTAGAGTGGTTGCTTTTGAGTTGCTCACATAGCAACCATTACTATTTATTCAACTTCCTCTCAGTTTTTTGGCAAGACAGGAAGCAACCAGAACATGCAGAAGGGAAGTTGATTTTTCTTGACCTTCCCATGAAATAACAGTACATGATAATTAACTGATTCAAAGACAAATGGACCTGATATGACTTATCAGACCTGGGACAAGAGGTCTGCGACACCACAGAAAGTCTTTGCTAAAATGATCTGTACTACAATTTGCCTTTCACTGACCAGCTTCCATCACATCTCATATACTTCTATTAAAATCCATCACATAAAACTCCTAGGCCATAATATATCAGGCAGTAGTAGTGAAAATCAGGTAAAGTTATGTGAATATACCATTTAGCAGTGCTAGCCGTTTAGCATTTAGAGGTACCTCTCTCCCCTTCTGTTACCTCTGTTCCTTAAGGTCATATCCGAAATTGACCAAATTCCACTATACCCCATCATATGAACGGAACCTACATTACACTCATTCCAAAACCAACAAAGACCCCACTCAATGCTCCTACTATCCTATATCATTAATTAAAACAGGCATAAAAATTATAATCCAGACTTTATCAGTAAGACTGGAATCTGTAGTTTCATCATAAAAAACTGGCTTCATTACGGGGAGGTGTCACCTCCGAAGGAGCAGGATGAAATAAGGAAACCTCAGGTGCAGACTTTGAGGGAGGAAACCCCCCAAGTGGAATTAAAGAGAGACTACAACAGTGGGCTGGTCCTTACATGGACCTGCAGGGGGGTCAGACTAACAACAGGACTGAGGAACGCAGGACAGGGTAAGACATGTACGACTCGAATTGGGCTTACATGAAGGACAAGTGTGGATTATTATCCAGGAATAACAACAGGACTGAGGAGTGCAGGACAGGGTAAGACATTTACGACTCGAATGGGGCTTACATGAAGGACAAGTGTGGATTATTATCCAGGAATAACAACAGGACTGAGGAATGCAGGACAGGGTAAGACATATACGACTCGAATGGGGCTTACATGAAGGACAAGTGTGGATTATTATCCAGGAATAACAACAGGACTGGGGAACACAGGACAAGGTGAGACATATACGACTCAAATGGGGCTTACATGAAGGACATGTGTGAATTATTATCCAGGAATAACAACAGGACTGAGGAACGCAGGACAGGGTAAGACATATACGACTCGAATGGGGCTTACATGAAGGTCAAGTGTGGATTATTATCCAGTACTAACTAAACAGATGGACTCAGAATAGCCATGAGTGCCCTCTGCTGGCCATAGAGGGACAAGCAGGTTATGACAGAAGGCATTATGCAGAAAACACTTGAAGATTACTTAACCTGATCAGTTTATATAAAAATAATACCGCTCAAAACTATAGTCCCTTCATCATAGCAACCCTTGGTGCTAAAAAGGCATTTGATAAGGTAGATTATTCCTTCCTCTTAACTTCCATAAACTGGATTAAAGCACCATGTAATTCACCTGCCGTATTTGTTATAATCAATGGACTGAAATAACACAGTCACACTGAACAGAGACAGTGGATTAACAAATATTCAGTGAATGTATAATCACAAATGCATACCCCACACAACCTGAATTACGTTAGACTTATTAAAATGAGAATGTAATAAACATGCTGAATGACATTTATAGCCCAAAGAGTCATTGAAAGGCTTCTCCTTCCTTTTTGTAGGTCAACAGTGACATATACAGTGAACGTTTTTGTGAATCATATTGGGAAAGGTTTCACTTGTGTGGATTATATTTATTTTACATTGTGGGGACCAAATATCCAGTGTGATAAAACCTGTTATTTTGATGTTGTTGGGACCACATAAATATCTGTGAATGCAATCAAAAAACAAAGAAAATGCCAAAAGTTGCGTGTTTTGTTTGGTTACTTATGGTTAAGGTCAGGGCTGGGTAGGGGTTAAGGTCTTCATGTTGGTGTTGGAGTTTTCCCCAGTTAAATGAATGGAGAGTCCCCACAAAGATATAATGACACACCAGTGTGTGTGTGGGTGTGTGTGTGTGCGTGTACATAGTTGATTGTTGTTGCCAAGTTTGGACCCTCTTTGATCTATGTTTGTAACTGTTCACACTAAGTAAAGTTTACCTGTTCTGCTCAAGGGATGTCTTCATCAGTATGTTATTTTTGAGAAAGTATTAGTTTTAAAATCTACATTAGAACAAAAATGTTATTGTTTCAAAGGCATTTGAAATAACGATTACTTTGAATATATATAGGCTATATATAAACCCAAGGGATTATGAGACATGCAGTTTTTGAACTGTTCAATGGTGATTCCCATGCATTTATCGCATAAGTTACTAATAGAAAACATATAAGCCGTTACATTTTTGATAAAATTGGAACCACGGTGGAGACTTGAGACTTGACTCGGACTATAATTTCGTAACGCGTGAACATGGTGCTGATTGTCTCCTGCCAGTGTACACTGACCTTTCATCAGGGCATCACAGATTCGACGGAGATTTGCCATTTGGCACTATTTTATATCACACGATTAAGTAAAGGCTGGATGAACAATGTGGCAAGGTGAGTTCTGTAGGGAACAATAAAGCTGAATCTCACATTGTGATGAGTCAACAGACCATAAACTCTTGGGACAATCCAGTGACTGAAAACTGCTCATTGCCCTCGGTGTGAAAAGACTATTGTCTTTTCCTGCATATTAAGCAACTACAGCCACAGTTTTTTCCTGTCATGTGACTGAATGGTGTCAATACATCTTTAAAGTGTCCAATGTGCACAGGTTTCATTGTTTCTTAATTTAATGTAATTTATTGAGAAAGGCAGATAAATTCCGTTGTGCAAAGATGAGCTTGTTTGTACTAGCAATTACAAAGACACAATATCAAAAACATAAAAAAATTAAAATTAACAGTGTAAGCATATTTCACAAATAGGAAAAAAGCAAAAGAGCTAAATAAAGTTATTAAACAGAAAACTGAGTATTTGTTTAGCAATAGTTATCAGAACAAAATAGGTGATACTGTACACCATATATGTATTTATGTCCAGTAGAAATTACACAAAAGCAAAACCTCATATATTCTAATGTAGCTTATTTGAATGAAAGGAAATTAGGCAACAGTGCTTCCATCTTCATGCAGAATATGACATAATTTTCCTCTTAACTGCAGACTTGAAATACCCCGCCTGCAAACAGAATACTACAATCACATACGTAGCGTGCTTTTTTGAGTAATATTTCCTGTACTGTTTTTTCTAACACAAAACTGCGCTGCTCCTTTACTGATGTTGCAAGGTGAGGGGTGCAGAACATTCGCTATAAATAAGCATAACAATGTCTGTTATGTGTCACGGAGCATAGCTATTTCAAACTATTCCTCACACAATGAATACATGCCCTTGTACAGTATCTGACTGCAGCAAAGTAGGTAGATGAACAAGGTGAAGGGCCAGTTGGTTTGAAGGTAAGGGGTAAAGGGTAATGGTAGTTTGAAATGGCAGCAGCGTATACAAAACATACATGCAGCAATTGATCTTATTTTAAAAGGGTTTTGATCTTTTGATTCTAATTTTGTAGCCAGTTTTGCAACTGACAAGGTAACGCTTTCTGGAATTACTGTAAGTGGATTTACCTTTGAATTAACAATCTTCTTCAATAAATGCATATAATGGATCAGATTTTTCTACAGCAGAATCTTGATAAAGTGTCACTGTTGTCAGAATATCCGTTCCTAAAGAAAATCAGAAAGACACCTGGATTTGTTTAATGAGGGTGAACAGCAAAATCCTGCTGCGCTGGTGTGCACAGTTAGAGTGTCTGTGTGCGGCAGGGTATGCATGTGCCCTTTAATGGACTGGCACCCCCTGCAGGGGGTCCCCTACCTTGTTCCCGTTGTTTCCTGGTACTGGCTCGAGATGCACTGGGACCCTGTACTGGGTAAGAGGCATTTAAGGTGGACAAATATAGCTGCATTCATGCAACTGATGGGTGTTACAGAGAGCAGCACTACTGCCTCAGACCTCCAGGGTTAGGGGTTTGAATACCTTCCATGTGTGGAGGCTGCATGTTCTCCCCATGTTTGTCTGAGTGTCATGTGCTGGGTCCAAAACCAGGCAGCTATGTCAGTTGGTGTGAATTCCTGTGTGCTCTGTGAGGTGTGTGTTTGTGATCCACTGAATTTGCAGGATTTAATAGATATTGTAGCCTGACTAAAAATTTTAAATGATTGTAACCAGTCAGTGATGTCATACTTAATATGAAGAATCATTTGAGCAGTAATATAGTTACACTGATGACTGAAAAACTCCTTGACTTCTTATTCTTTTAGGAAAATGGAGGACTACATTACGTTTTGTACATTACGTATATACAGATAAATGGAGGACTACACTACGTGTCGTACATTACGTATATACAGATAAATGGAGGACTACATTACGTGTCGTACATTACGTATATAGGCCTACAGATAAATGGAGGACTACATTACGTATTGTACATTACATATATACAGTACAGATATTTTTGCTCAAAGCACATAGTAAGTGAGATCAGAGCATAGTGTCACCCAGATATGGGATCGTAGCTGTAATTTCTTTCTGAATTCCACCTCATAATAGTTAATTTCAGATCTTTGGAACATGGCGGATCATTACTGCCCCAGCTGTTCTGATGAATTGCAGTTCCACTTAGTGCAATTATTTGAATGAGGAGCAGGTTTCCCCCCCCCCCCCAACCCTCAGACAGTCCTGGTTTTTGCTCCCTCTAATACATAATTTTCTTAATTAACATTTAATGGTATAAAGAATATGTTCTAGCTATATCTATATTTATTTATTTTTTCTTACCAGGCTTATGTCTTAATCGGAGACAGAGGCTTCCCAGTATAATTGCAATAAGACAGAGGATGATGCACCCAGTTACAAACACTAACACCTTCCTCTTCAGTACTAGATAGAGAAGAAAAGGTCATATATTCATCACAAAGTACCACAAATGTTAGCTTCATAAACAGTTTGCTTTTTCATTTCCTAAACACAAAGACATTTATTATAGAAGTAAATAAGTCCTGTACTTACAGATGTTTCCTGCTGTTAAACCCTCACTGATCCAGGAGACAGAAGGTCCCTTTTTCATGACACCTCTGCAGGTATACACGCCAGTTCCAGACATCACTGTATATCTGTCCCCAGTATATCCTGCAATGGGCTGTCCATCTCTGTACCATGTGTAGTTCCATTCAGCGGAGCTTTCAGGAACCTCACACCTCAGCACCAGGTTTTCTGTGAAGAGGCTCTCTATCCATTCAGTCTCCACTTGCAGCACAGCTTGTGGGCGAACTAAATGGGAAATACATAAGGTCTAATATTTAGATTCTGTGATCGGGGACCGTCAACCTGTCTGTAAACGAACAAACGTGTCCATGGTCACGCTCATCTCTGTCCACGGCAGAATGTTTTGATTGAGTGTGTAGGTCACATTTTAAAAAACCTTTTCCGTGGTAAACACTGCATTTTAATCGAATCAAAGAATTTGCCATTGCGATGAACCCTGTTTATGATCAACTTGATGTTAACTTAGTGGTAATTAATCCATACTCTGGAGGTTACAAAACAATTAAATTTTAATTGTGGGGGATGGCTGTCCCTGGCACCATAGGGCATAACACGGGGACAACCTAGACAAGATGCCACTTAGCACAAACTATGCCATGTGCTTGTACATAAAACTTTCCTACCTGAAATTTTAATCGGGAGGTCATTGCTCATTTCACACAGCACTCTCCTTCTCCCTCGATACTGCCCCCTACAGGTGTAGCCTCCACTATCTGACAGAGTAGCTTTGGTGATTGTGTATTTGTCTCCTGGTCCATATGGAGGAATCTCCTGTCCATCTCTGTACCATTTATACTCCCACTGAGCAGAGTCACCCTGAAGGCCACACCTCAGAGTCACACTCTCAGTGATGAAGATCTCAGTCCAATTGGACT